AACTTAAACACTTGACTCTCCCAAAAGTTCCTAAACACTTGACTTTTTATCATGTGATGTTATATCCCATTCTGTATCCTTCCCTTGCTCCTTGTCCCCCCCCCTCCCCTCCCCCGCTGGTTAATACTGACCGTGTATCACAGTGTTGGTGATATTGGTGTCGTGTTCGATCACCGTCACGAGGTCCCTATCCTGTTCACCGTCGCGGCTCGTGGAAACGTCTTCTCGTATTTTCTTCTCCTCCTCTTCGTCCACTCCCCATCTCCTCTCTTCCTCTAGCCTCCATCTCCTCTCTTCGTCTACTCTCCACGTATCTCCTCCGGGTCTTTTGGCTGAGTCTCCTCGGTCTCCCGGTTTTCCGAAGTCGTCTCCTTCTCCAGGTCTCCCAGGTCTTCTAAAAATGTCTCCTTCTCCAGGTCTTGTAACTCCGCCTTCGCCAGGTCGTCTGAAGCCGTCTTCATCCCCTGGTCTTCCTAGTCCTCCTCCCCCTCCAGGTCTATTCAATCCTCCTCCTTCTCCTGGTCTTTTCACTCCTCCTTCTCCTGGTCTTCCAATTCCGCCACCCTCTCCAGGTCTTGTGAAACCATCTCCTTCTCCAGGTCTACCAGGTCTTCCAAAAACGTCTCCTTCCCCAGGTTGTCTGAAAACATCTTCTCCAGGTCTACCAGGTCTCCCAAAAATGTCTCCTTCTCCAGGCCTTCCAATTCCTCCACCTTCTCCAGGTCTTCCTAAACCTCCTCCCTCTCCAGGTCTTTTCACTCCTCCAGGTCGTCTGGAGCCGTCTCCTTCTTCTGGTCTACCATCTCTAGGTCTTCCAAATCCTTCTCCAGGTCTTGCGAATCCATCTCCTTCTCCAGGTCTTCCAAATACGTCCCCTTCTCCTGGTCTTTTCACTCCTCCGCCTTCTCCAGGTCTTCCTAAGCCGTCCCTCTCTCGTGGTCTACTATCTCCTCTTTCTCCAGGTCTCCCGAATCCTCCTCCTGGTCTTCCGAAGCCACCTCCTTTTCCTGGTCTAGCAACTCCTGTTCCCCCTTCTCCTGGTCTTCCAATCTCACCACCCTCCCCAGGTCTCCTAATTCCGTTTCCTTCCCCGGGTCGACTGAAACCGTCTCCTTCGCCAGGTCGTGTAACTCCTCCTTCGCTAGGTCTACCAGGTCTTTCAAATATGTTAGCTTCTCCTGGTCCCCTAATTCCACCGTCTTCTTCGGGATTGATTCCATCCTCTCCCCACTTCATTTTTTCATCAATTCTGGTGTAAAGCTCTTCGTCGACTCTCCATTTTCTTCCACCCTTTACCTTTTCCCCTTTCTCTCCCGTCTCTCCTCTCCATTGGTCTCGTCCTCCGTCTATTCCCCACCTCCTCTCCTCCTCCACTCGCCATCTCCTTTCCTCGTCTATCCTCCATCTTCCATCTCTGTCGACGTTGTTATATCTCGACTCGTCCTCGTCGCCCTTGTCCCCGCCTGGTCTGGGAGGCCCATGTCCCCCGGTCTCCCAGCGCTGCTCTTCGTCCAACTTCCATCTCCTGTCGTCAACGGCGTCCTGGCCCTTTCTGCGGCCCTCCCCTCGGCCCTCTCCTTCGCCCGGGCCCCGTCGGCGGTCGTCCCCGCCAGTGGTCTTTCCTCGTCCTCTCGAGGGCCTGTCCCCCTCGATCCTCCATGTCCCCTTCTCGTCCACTGTCCAGCTCCTTTCGGTCTCGACCATCGTCAGGTCATTCTTCAGGTCCGTGAAGTCGTCCTCGAGGATCTGGAGGCCGTTCTCCGTGACATCGTCTATTTGCCCGCGCTGAGAGACACCGTTGTCCTGCTCGAGGTCGGTCGGGATGGCTGGGGGGTGGACAGAAGAGTCATGAGGCTCCGGCTCCCGTCGTCGCTTGCCCCGTGAATGTGATATTGCAAAGGCCTTAGTTTGTGTGTGAAGGAACAAATTAATGAGGGAGGTTACGGCTTGTGTTAGGCAGTTATTATACAGTCCTCTCTCTCTCTCTCTCTCTCTCTCTCTCTCTCTCTCTCTCTCTCTCTCTCTCTCTCTCTCTCTCTCTCTCTCTCTCTCTCTCTTTTTCTCTTTTTTCCCTTTCTCCTCTCTCGCATCCCCATTCTCTCTCTCTCTCTCTCTCTCTCTCTCTCTCTCTCTCTCTCTCTCTCTCTCTCTCTCTCTCTCTCTCTCTCTCTCTCTCTCTCTCTTTTCCCTTTCTCCTCTCTCGCATCCCCTCTCTCTCTCTCTCTCTCTCTCTCTCTCTCTCTCTCTCTCTCTCTCTCTCTCTCTCTCTCTCTCTCTCTCTCTCTCTCTCTCTCTCTTTCATCTCCTCCCTTTCTCTCTCATCTCCTCCCTTTCTCTCTCATCTCCTCCCTTTCTCTCTCATCTCCTCTCTTTCTCTCTCGCCCGCCTTTCACATCTTTCTCTCTCATCATCCCCCCTCTCTCACATCTCTATTTCTCTATGCTCCTCGCCTTCTCTCTCTCTCATCCCCTTTTTGTCCCCCTCCTTCTCGCTCTTTCCT